TATTCAAGTCAGATTTTCGCACTAATTGTTGCATTCCTCTTTCCTGTGAGGAGTTAGGGCCACTTGGTAGTTGCACAGTGCTTGGTGGATGGTACCATAGGGTGAGATTTAGAAGAAAACTAGATTAGTTTAGATGACTGCAGCTATGCAGATGACACTGGCTAAACGTCCCATCTCCAAACACGAAAACATATACAGCAGATAGTGTCTGATAGTGTTACTAAGCTTTTTGATAGGAAGGCTCTGGATACAATTCTTGCAAAGGGAAATTACTCCAAAATATGGAGTGTGAGCATTTGCATAGCCTTTGTTGTGGCTGGAAAAGTATTTCAGAGGCTACCTCTGATATGTTTTCTTGGCACAGTCTTTCCTTCAAGGCCTGATTCTCCCTTGCTTTGCGTTCTTGATAATCATACCTGTGTAAAGTAGGTATAAGGTGCCTTCATATTATAACGCAGTGAAGAATTGGGATCACAACTTCTTCAGTATAGGATGGATTTTTCTCTTTTGGATCCATTTAATACTGTTACCAAATACTTGTGGTTTGGTAAAGAACTGCATCTGTTTTGCTTGTACCTCGATCAGGCATCCATGCTGTCTGTCTTTGAAATACTGAGACTGAATTCCTGCAGTGCAGCATACGTTTAGCTGCCCAGGAACTTCTTGTGGCCAGTACTGGATGCCATGATTTATTATCACAGAAAGTAGTGCAGCTGTAAGCAGCAGCTTAGTATGAAGCATAGACCAGGACCCAGATCCAGCATGATTAACCTCAAGAGGTCTCCTGAGAGTCACTGAAGCAATCTGGTTTGGGAACCTCCCTCTGCTGACTGAATAGAAAGCACCTGCACCTTCCTGCACAAGTGTTTAAAACACCTTGGTGCTGTTCAAAGGCTGGCCGTGGCCATGCAGTCTGATGGAACCAATAACGGTCCCACCACAACTAACCTCTCAGGCTTCTCCAGGGATTGAGATGGCTCTGCCTCCCAATTTGGATCACAAATTAGTTTGAGTGGGGAAGAAGTATTAATCTCTCCAAATCACTGTGTTTCTGAACCTGCACATCTGAGAAAAATTGAGGCTACAAGATATCTAGCAGTTTTTCAGAGAAGGGTGACTTGTCCACTAGGCAGTGCAGGAGAATGGGTTGCTGGAGACTTGCATGGTGTTTAGGTGCCCAAGTCCCATGTAGCCAGGATGATGGGAGATGCCAGATCAGAAACTTCAGATTGTGTGTTGGTTATTAAGTGATCTTGTTACTGAACTTCTGGCAACTTTACAAGGTATTTACTCTCTCTCTTAAGTCAGAAAGTCTGATCAAGGGCTTTAAAGAAAAGTGGTTCTTACCCAAATTGTTGTTTAATTGCTTAAAATAAAAATACCATTCCTATGATGTAGTAATTAATTCTGGGGCATAAGCCGGTAGCAAAATATGAATGAATGTTATGTGCCACAGTCATTAAAATGTAAATTGGTCTTTTATTTTGACTGCATGATCTGGCTTACATACTGTAGAAAGAACAGTCCAAAATGGAAGTCACCAATTTAAAATAAAGGTCACTTATTAATAAGAATGCATGAAGAAACATGAAACTGTTTTCACCTTGGTCACTATAATATAATGAGGATCCTTGGAAGAATACACTATATTTAAAAATTAAAAAGGTAGAACGAGGAGAGGAGACTTCAACAGTATCAGCATAAATGGGAAAATATTTTAATGTTAATTTTTTGTAGTATATTGGCTACCATTAGAGCAGCAAACATAGATTTCCAGATGTTTGTGAAGAGTCCAACAGTTACATTTTATATCTATGGCTGTAGTAGCAATTTCTATTCAGCAGCCTAGAAAAGCATTCCATGTCACAACAGGAAAGAAATATTACTGTGGGGTTTTTTTCTCCCTCATCCCCTATATAGCAATTCTGAATACTTCAGTCAATGCCAAACAAAAATGATGGTTTAAAAATTAAAACCACAGTCACTAGGGGCAGGACATAAATGTGCAGATGTTTTGAGATGTTGAAGAACTTTTGTGGAGAGGACTGGAAATCCATCAGTCAGACACTGTCAAAAGCATTCCCGGTCAGAAAAGGCAGTTACCTTTTTATATTCCCTTAAGGAAAAAAAAATAAAAAAATCAGAACCAGAAAGCCTACTCACAATGGCCTTTATATAGCTCTTACTATTTTATTAGCAAAGGATTGACTGTAATCTGTTAATGTAAGTGAGCAACTTATATCTAGAGTTTACTGGGCAACCTGTACAAGTGGAAAACTGCATTGTCCCAAGGCAGTGCACAAAACATCAGTTTTCCTTCTCTGGGAAAGAAAATTTTTACAAGCTTATAAACTGTTTCTGTCTCAGGCATCTCTATACCTTAATGCTGTTATGCAAATGGCTGCCTGAAAATCGTGTATTTACCACACCTACCTGGCTAGACAAAGAGACATCATGAATAACAACAAAAATAGCAGAGGGCAAGTTTTTAAAGGCATTCATTGTAATTGGTACATTTAATGCCCGTGCATGATGACAGGCTTCTTACCTCCCAAGAGTTGGCAGGCACTGCTAAGAACATACATGTAGCATTGAGCCGTCCTGCCAGAGCTTGAGCTTTTACTGTTGCCTGTCTCTTCCGCCTGATGGTTACAAGGATGGAAATAAAGGTCAAAAATATAAATGGACGTCAGCTCCTCCGTCTCCTGTTTATTTTACTTGCTTTAATTAGTAAGGTGAGGTTTTCTGCACTGCCTGGCCCTGCTGTGGCTCAAAGGGTGCAGAATTCTCCAACAGCAGCACAATTCCCCAGGCAACCAGAAACTCTCTGGAGCAAGGAAGCCATGGGCAGCTGTGCCCATGCGAAAGGCAAGGGGGATGCTATAAGTAAAGGCAATGTGGTGGGAGCACTGGCTTGTGCAAGACAGGTGGTCCAGTGGGGAAAGGTTGGCATATGTTAGCGGAGGCGGGGATGGGGCCAGGAAGTGTGCGGCTGCGGGGAATCATGGAGTTGAAACCGCATCTCTGATGGCCTGTCCTCTTTTCAAAGCCCCAGAAATTGCCTGTCATATGTGGCTGGTGTCAGGTGTCAGGTAGCAGTTTTCCAGAATGAAATGCACCATTAGCAGGTAAAGACAATTCATTAGGTGCAACATAGCAGAACTGTAATTATTTATTAGATATTATTTCTCACAAAATGCATCTCCAGGATCACATTGCATTAGCCACGATATTGGACTGATGGAGCATAAACAAGGGTAATGATAAACACCGGTGAATGGAGTTGGGAAGAGATGGTTATTAGGGTACCGGTGTGTTTTATGTGGGGTTTATTTAACAGTCTCATTAATGATCTGGAAAAGGAAGTGAATAACCATTTAATTAAGTTTGCATTTGATACTAAATTAGAAATTGCTGCAGACACCTCCGAGGGCAGAGAAATAAATCAAAAGGAGCTAGAAGCATGTGCGGTAAAGAAGAAAATGAAATCTGGTATGAAGAAAAAAAGCAAGCTAATCTCTCTGGAAGCAAATAATCTAAAATGTAGCTATGGGTGGAGGAATTCTGGAGAAAGCAGTGTTGAAAGAGATGTAGGAGTGTTAATGGACTATATATTCCATCACAGCTCGGGTATATGTTTACAGAAGCAACGCATCAAGGAGCAGGAAGGTAATAGCCCTTCATTGTAGGGCTCTAGTGAGAACCCATCTATAATGCTGCACTCTGTTTTGGGCATCCTGTTATCAGAGAGATATAGACAAATTGGAATGAGTTCAGAAAAGAGCCATAAAAATGATCCCATATCCCTGGAGATAATGACTTATGAAGAAAGATCAGAAGAAGTAAATGTGTAAGGCCTTGTCTGAAAGATGACTGAAGTAAGGCAGGAAAACGGTCTGCAAATATGTGAAAGTGAAAAGGGAGGAGGATAATTTATCATAGTAACTATTAGTAATAGGATGAAATAATAAGTAAGAACAATAAATTTTAAAAGGGCAACTTCAGGTTGAATGTAGGGAGAAATTTCTGACAGTGGAATTTGGGTTAGTTTGCAAAGAAGTTTCCCATGGGTAAAAGTAAAAGCTGCATTCAAGTCATTTAAAATCAAATTGGACAACTCACTAGAAAATGCACCCTGCTATAGGGAACAATCTTCCATTGCCTGGGGAATAAGCTAGATGACTTAATAGGACATTTCACACTGAAGTCTTTATGACTGTGATATTTTTAATATGCATGGTCAACTGTTTCAGGGAAGTATGCATTTCTTATGCTGTCAAGCCTGATAATACAAACACTTGGATGCAAACATAACTTTTCAGAAGGCAAGTAGTTCTGCTGACAGCACTGCACTGGTGACGTGCAAAAACACAATCCTGACCTCTTCAAGTTTTTGCAGCATCAGAGTCTTAGATCTTGCAGTTGTCAATATTAAGATGGTATATACAGGTAACCACGTCATTTATGGGTAGGTGAAGAAGTGTGCAGAACAAAAGATGGGGGTCGAAAGCCCCAATGAGGATGTATTATTATTGTTATTGCTATTACTACTTATAAATGATTGGTACTGTGGAGTTCAGCTCCGCTTCTTAACTGTTCACCTTTTTCATCTCCTGCTTTCACCTCTGTGCAGAGTCTTCATTAGACAGTGTAAGACTGCTTTCTACACTCTGTTTTTTAACATTTGAAATTTTTAATATATCCTAAAATGTCTGTTGAATGAGAAAAGAGACAAGCTGAAGTGAAAACTTGGCCCTCCCTCAGGTGAAGAAGAGATGACAAAGGCTATGGATTTAAATGGATATGAGGGTAACCCTGTATTTTCCCCCCAGTTATAGTAATATAATGTTGAACTCCACCATACGTTAGCAGCAGACCAGCTCACAGGCATTCAGATAGGTATGCTCCCTAACACTGTGGCTTTTACATGTGGTTTTTTTATGTCCTTGTTTTCTTCTCTTCCCTCCCCCTCCTCGATGGGCTGTGTGTGGGGCTGGCAGCCTGGTGGTGCCGCAGTCCAACGCCCGAGCCTCAGGACTCTCCAGCAAGGGGTCAAGCAGCAGCAGCTCCAGTGAATCCGAGACCAGCTCAGAGTCTGACTCAGAGAGCGAAAGCAGCTCCAGCGAGAGTGACGGCAGCAAGCCCTCGCATTACTCCAGCCCAGAGGTAAGGGCTTCTGCTCTTTATGATTTAGGGCAGCAATCCATTATTACACCCACTCAGACCTTTTTCCAGCCAAGCCAACACAAGGAGGCTGTGGAAAGATACACAAAAATTGGAAGAGAAAGGCCCAGGGATCCTCCTCCTGGCATGCTGTGAAATGCAAGTGGCAGGGGATCCTGGGGCAGATTAAAGCATTTGAAACAAAAATGAAGCAAGAAATAACCCTGTGATGTTTTCCTCAAATTGGAGATGAGTGGAGCGCCTTGCAAGGCTCACAGCTTGCTTGAAGTTTTATGCAACTCTGCCTCCATAGCAATGGCTTGCTTAGTGCGTAAGTCCTGATGTGGGCTCCCAGCACTGCGAGGGAACTAAAGGCTTCTCTACACAGGGAAGCTATTACAAAATCAGTTTGAGGGTGGATTTTTAAAGCAAAACAGTTGTTTTTCGCTCACACACTTCCCTCACCTCACTCTCTAAGTGAATTATTCTCTGCTACTGCTGCCTTTGTGTGATTTACTTTAATCCACCTGCAAAATGGACTAAACTAAATTACTCATGGTGCAAAACATTAAGCCCAAACTTGTCATCTGGAAAGCTAGTACTGAAAATTTCCACATGTAGACGAGCCCTAGCCAAATTAAAATTAAGCTGCCAGTGCTATGCCATCTTCTGCTTTCACCTTTACAGAGTGCTCAATGGACAGAACAAGGCTGCCTTCTCTGCTCTGCTTTTCTACCAGGACTGACATTTTTACATGTTTTGGTCAATACACACCTTCAGTATAAAACCATGAACTCCACAGACACATCATGCACATTAATGTATGTAAAAATATTCAAAAATCTAGCAGCAAGATTGTAAATAAGCATGAAATACAGTCAGTGTATTTTCCTACTCCACATAAAGCATCCAATCACCAGACTCCTCCCCCCAAAACTATGCCTCACCTATTCTGTCACCCTAAAAAATTATACTAAATAACTAGCAAGCCTTTCCTCATCTTTTGCTCAGTTATTTGGGCCTGTGTTTCCTATCAGGCAAAATGCAGCACTTGCAGAAACATCCTTAATATATTTTTCTCAGGTTCTGTCACTTTTGTTTCTTATTTAACACTTATCTTCCTTTCTGTCTTTCCTTCACAGTAGTTTCAGGTCCATTTCCAGTTAATTTTCCTCTCATTTTGTCCCTTTCCTAAATCTCTCTCTCTGGTTCTCTTTCATTTTGTCTCTATTCTCTTCCTGACAGTTTCTGTTCCCTGTTGCCCTCCCTGCACTACCCCATGTCTTATTTCCCATCCTGAGCTCTCTCATCCGACCCATTAAGACCTTGTTCTCTCTCTGCCTAGTTCCCCACTGGAATTAGTGCAGAGATCTCACGCTCGGTCTCTCCTCTCCCTGTGGGATCTCAGAAGGTGGAAGAAAAGGGACAAAGAGAAGAAAGAGAAGGAACCATTGTGGGGGGAAGGAAATATGAGATTAAAGGAGGAGAAGCATAGAACCCAGGAAGGGAGGAGTATTTTCTGTCTAGGCAGATACCCATGTTGCTTAGTCCCGAGAGCAGGAATTCCTCAGGGAATGTGGGAAGTTAATTAACTGAGGCAGGTCATGGATTTCATAAAGTCAAGCAGGGGACTGAGAGTCATGGAAACGTGAAGGAAGTACCTGCTTTTAAGCATTTTATACATATTCTCTTGAGATCTGTGGAACTACTTTTGTACAGAGCCTGAGTTATCAGTGATCATTGTCACAAAACAGCGGCACTGCTCCAACAGATTGCATGTCTGTTTGCATTATATTTGTGTGGTTTGCCTTCTAGGACATGCTGTATGAAACATGCTTACACAATGTAAATGACTCCAAAAAACCATGATGGCTGCTAATACTGAAAATTTCTGGTGGTTTTCATAGGTCACGCACTGAGGTTTCCACAGGTCATGCCTTGATAGGGTACGGGAGAGGCCGCACATGGACAGCCAGGGTGTCCCAGAGAAGCAGAATACCTGTGCCTTCCCCAAGGGCCAGTGCTTTCCCAGGCCCATCGTATGACCGATGGCAGCAGTTCAAAACAGTCTTATGTAATATCACTGGCTGGAAGTCCTGTCTGCTTTGCATTAATGCTTTAACTTACATTTATGCACCCAGTGAAGCCATCTTTCCAAAGTATATGCCATGTTCTTACCTGGTAAATGGAGAGAGAGACAGGTCCTTGGAAACTCTTTAAACGGAGGCCCTGTCCACCTAAATTTAAGTAGTGGACTCAATTCCAGTCCTAGTCTTAAAATGAATTTCATCATTGCATTAGACAGAAAAAAGCAAATACATCTTTGATTTTCCTTTGGCATAAACTGATAAATTCAGGTGCAATGAACTTGAGTACTCCAGCACAATGCTGGACAGGGAATCCATATCTCCAAGTTAGGAGGAACTTGATCTGGAAATCTTCAGACCATTATGAGGCTTTCATTCCTCCTTTTTTTTCCATAATCTGAAATATTATGTGCATATACTCAAAGATTTTTATTTCTAGGACAGTGTGTCTTCTGCATTTGAGGTTATATAGAAATTCAGTTGCTGTTTCATGTCTTCTGTATTTTTTTCCTCATCTCATTTTGAGATTTTGAGTTGCTATCAGGTGTCTAAATGCAGTTGCCTAGAGTGTAAAAGCAGTTCATTGTAAAGCATACATATAAAATAGATGAGATGAATTGCACCCTAAAAGTGTCCATTTCTTTCCGTTGACTATTTAGAGCCTGTAGTGACTAGCTCAGCTGTCTACACTTTATGTCTGCAGTAAACTAAGAATAATGGCTGGGCTAGAACAGGAGACAACATTCAGACTGGTTTCAGTGATGTGGACAAATTAAGGTGCCTCAGACATTAATGTGAGTAGTTACAGTTTTGTGGACTGCCAAACCTGAAATTATGAACAAGGGATTGAGGCTTCTATCTCCTGTTTCTTTGCTGAAGTCATGAATTCTTTGCATGACCTTAATTAATGTCATAAATGAAGACTCTGGAAAATAATGACATCTTGTCCTTGCAATTATTTCACATGATAGAAAAAAACCTTGGGTGTCAAATCCATAGAAAGAGCTACATTTCAAAAGCTAAGAATTTGGTTTGTTTGTTCTTTGTTCCATTGAATTATCCTGCAGGCCTTTAATAAGGCTGAATCTGGTTAGACAACTGGGAATTCCCAATATGCAGGAAGGACAAGAGGGGTGGATGGGCAGGAAGGAAGCAGAGAAGCCATCACATGGGACAAAGCATCTGTGGCTAGTCAGCAGTAACCAGACCAGAAGAGAGAGGTGTCCTGTCCTTGGCCCCACCAGCTCCATGCACCAGATGCAATGTCCTTTACAGCCTCTGCTGTTGTGACTAGTTCACAACGATTAACCTTTTTTCCTCTTTTTCAAGGATTCACATATACTTTTTGTCCATGCTTATTCCATCATCACAGGATATACCCTTTTGTCTCAAGTCCCCACGGTGTGACTGACCAGGTCAAAGCTGAAGTGATTTGTAGGGCTATGCTCTTCCCCACCCTCCTCTCTCATCAGCAGAGAGCCACTTCCTGACCACTGTGCACCAAATCCTTCAAGTGCCTGGGCATCAGTACCAGTGGCTGAGGACCCACTGCCTGTGAATCCCTGCTGTTCCCTCAGGTGCTCTGTGGCATTGGCTCTCTTCTCTTTAGCTCGGAAAACAGGAAGAATGTGTGTATCTAACAGACTAGGTAACTGGTGAGCATGTTACTGCCACCTCACCAGCCTTTCTTCACTGAGAGATTTCATTAGGGAGGCAGGGGTAGAAGAGCTGTAGTTTTAGGGTTGCAGGGTAGGAGGTGTATGTTTTCTGTATCTGTCTTGTTTTCCAAAAAGCTTTTGTTTCCCATCTTAAGTATAGCCATGATTTGATTTCCTGAATGGTACACTCAGAAGAAAAGAGGATTTTACCACTAGACCAACTGTAGACACTATCTTTGCCTTTGCAAATAAGATTCATGGGCTTTAGCTGTCCTTTGGACTATTTTTGACAATTACTACAAACTAACCTCTCCCTTCCCTCCAGAAAACTCTTTGTGGCAGGAACCATCTCTTGTAGTATATGAGTGCCATGCCTAACACTTGGGAATCCCCAGTTCTGATTTGATAAAGCAGTAGCAGCAGTGCTGATAGTAGCAATAAAGTAGTAGTAGTAGTAGTAGTAGTAATAATAATCATCATCATCTTCTTCACCATCATCATCATCTATACCTTAAATACAATGAAAAGGCACCACATTTGTATGGGGATTGCCCTGAATGAAGTATTTGATAGCAGGGCAGCACAAGCAAGTTATCATAAGGCTAAATTAGTACGTGGATTTACAATAGGTGGGCTAAGTACATGTACATATTATAGGCTATCTAATCTCTCAGTGAAAGTGGTGTCATGCTTCAAGTTTACCATGGTATTAGCTACACCTTAAGTCCCTCTCTGTAATAACAAGCATAGAGTGACCCCATTACGCTTGCACTGTTTAACAGCCCTTTACCCCGGAAAGCGTTCCTGGATAATGTTTTGACAAAGGTTTCTTTTGGATGCATGCCACTCGTGCCTCTGGTTGCACTTGTAGCCTTGAAGAGATCTGAGATATATAGATGTGCTGTGTGGGAGACATCCCACCTAAATTTGGACACTTCTACGGTAGATACCTACATCTGCTCGTCACCTCAGCCTCCCCTTTATAGGCAGTGGAGAGAAATAGACGTTTTCAGGGCTTAGCTCATCTGGCTTATTTCAGATGTCTATTTCAAGAGGGAATTTTTCACACCCTAGAAGAGTAGTCCACTGGCTGGAGAAGGAACTCGTTGACTAGCTCAGATATAGGTGTCTGTGTTGTACAGATGAATCCACCCACAATTTTTAGGGAAGTGTATCACATCCTTCTGTTTCTCGATGAAGCCTGGCACACGTGTATGTCTGTGGTACGTTGGTCCCTAAAACTATCTTTGTCTCATAAAGTTTCTTGGTTTGGGTTTTCATGCCAAATCTATATTTCACTGCAAGTCAGCTTCATCACAGACTGTTATTCCTATTACTGCTGCCCATCTGGGCACCACCAGCTCTACCCCAGTTAAAAACTGTCCAGTTCTCTACAAAGCCTTGAGGGCAGCATATTTCCATGACACAAGAACCAAGGGACAGAGACCATTCTGCTATCTGATCATTCTGGATATACATTCATATATATTTCCACCCTTACATGCTGATGAAAATTTCCCACTTTGAGTAAACCAAATTTTCTTCCATAGAGTGGTATGTGATATGCTCAGGGGAGTGACATGAACTGGAGAATTAGGGATCTTCTTTTTCTCCCACAAATAATTGCAGTTAGGCACGTGAAGTGGACTTGTGAAATCTTTCCAGTGAATTCTCCCAATCCTTTTTTTTTTATCAGGCCTGCTCTTCATTCTTGGCTGTCATGATTTTGTTGTCTCACAAGAAGTTTTCTTAAGTGATTTCAAAGTACATTACTTTTCAGTTAGAGCAATCAATTGAATAAATTACTTCCAAAAGTGAATTGGCATCACTCCTCTACACAACAATCTCAAATATTCCAAAACTGTATCAGGGCCCAAAAATAGTGAGAAAAGTTTTAAATTTTTAAATTTTTTTTAAAACTTGGATTCTTTAATTTACCTGATGGGCTGCAGGCTTTTTACTTTTAACAGATGCATCTTAAAGGGTTTTTTAGGAGACACGTGTTAAGGTTTTTTTCAGCAACCACAAGAATTTGAATTTTTATTTCAGTAAACCCTGGAAGTGCATCTAAGCCCATGATTCTGAGAGCTGAGGCTTTAAGAAAAAATGAGTGTCCTGACAAAATTAGTAAAGCTGGCAACATTGTTGATCCTTTTTATTAGACTTCATAGTTGGCTTATAGGTTGGTGGGACTGTAGTTATTCTGCCTAAATAGCAGACATATCACTCTAGGAAAGTACCACATTGCCAAGTTACGACACTGTAGCAGTTAATGACTGTTTTCTGCTGGTTTACTGTCATCCCTTGAAATCCATATTTTGTGAACCTCTGTTTTCAAGAATTACAAGGTACATAAAGAGACAGAATGGAATGTAACAGAAAAGCTGAAAGTTTTTTTGAACTTTCAAGCTGCCCTCACTCTGACCTATACTTGTGGGCAGAGGTGTATTTTTCCCCACGTGCTGCTGATGTATGTCTTTTTCTTAAATACACCTGAACAGTGGAAAGACCTTCATGTATAGTGAACCTTCTATTATATATCTAGTAAATTCAGTATGTGCACAATGAATGGCACCAAACAAATATATCTATATTTTCAGCAGCAAACCAAAAAAATGCTGTTTATTTTAGATAAACAGTTAAGAGTTGTAAAAATATATCATCATCCAAAAGAAATATTGCCCATCCTTTTTCAAGATTTACAGCTCAGGAAAGAAATTCCTCATGTAAGGTATTAGAGAGTATGGTGAAGAAAAAATAAACTTAAAGTAATCCAGCAAACTTCCCATAGGTATTGGCTAGCTTGATAACGAGTAAATTAGACACTTTTGCAAGTAGGAATAATTGTATCATATGAATTTGGATGTCTAACTTTTTTTCCACCCTCAGTGGGTGATTCTGGGGATGCCCTTAGCTATGCAAGAAACCTGTGTTGCCCTCAGGCACCTACTTTAAATAAGGAGTAAGAGACTCTTTTAAGTTAGAGACTGTGGATATTCTCTCTTAAGCAAATTTTCTTCCAGAGCCTTGATGGTTTTCATGTCAGACTCATGACACGCTTTTTGATTATTCATATGCAATAGGCTACTGGATCAAATTTTGGTTCCAGTTAAGGAAATTAAGAAGACTTTTCACATTGACTTCTGCGGGGTTAGGTTATGGCTGGCCACCTACTCCATGATTTATTTCTTTTGGGTTTTTTTGCCTTTCCTCTTCATTTTATTACATTCAAATTACTGATTGCAAGAAGCACCAGAAAACACTTGCACATTGTTCTGAAATAACATTATCTGAGCTGTGGTTACATTTGAAATCATAATTATACCACTTCTTCACTGTCCAAACACCATTATGTTCTAGATGCTCTCTTATAGCTTGATCGTGTTGTGACAGGAATGAAGAGAAAAACTAACAGCTGCACAATACTCACAAAATGAGCACTTGACAGTACCACCACACAACAAATGTTTGTGGGATCTCACAGGACTATAACGTCAATACCAGACAGATTACATGAACCGCCTGGTTAGGCCTCCAAGTCCGCACTACATGCCTCTCTGTATACTTTTTAAATACTTTTTGTATTTATTGCGATCGTGCAGGACACAAAATACAAATCCCTAAGCTTTCCTCCAAGCTATCCTCCCTCAGCCTCAGCCTACCCCTGCCTTGTTTTCCTGCCTTCCTATTGCCATTATATTTTCTTCTATTTGAAAACTTGGGAGTGTTTCCTGGTAAAGCCAGTGCCAGTAGTGCTGCATGAATCATCCTTAGAAATGATGAACCATGGAAGCCATCCTCCTTCCCAAACTCACTGTGAAACCAATAATATCCCCCCCTTACGCAGCATGACTCACAGTCTCCCGTCCCACTGCACAAGGCCAGTGCCAGGGGCTTGCCATGGCTTGGCGGCGGCTCTTTGACCAGAGGAAAATCTCTGCAGTACCAGGAGGTACCCGGTGTTTCGGTGTCCCTGAGGGAGCCCCAGGGAGGGGGTAGCAGAGTCTCGGCACTAAGCTAATTGCCACCTGTTTCCCTTTCAGCCCGAGCCACCCTCGTCCAACAAGTGGCAGCTGGACAAGTGGCTGAATAAAGTCACCCCGCAAAAAGCACCCATCCTGACCCACCACGATGGCCCGGCGCTGGAGGCCCATCCCTACTACGGCCGTGTGAAGGCAGAGCGGCAGGAAAGCGAGAAGACCCCAGCGGCCGGCCCGACCGAGCACCGCAGTGGGGAGGGCCGCACCGCCACTGCCACCACCGCCATCGGGGACGGACCGCGGCCCAGGACCGCCAACAAAGCACCGGGCAGCAAAGGCAGCCGGCAAAAGTCACCCCCCGCCGCCGG